TTTTATTTTTTTAATTATTTTTTTAATTTTATTTCCTTTATTCTTTATTTCATTTCCTCTCTGCTCCCCTACCTCACTGCTGCTCCTTCTCCTTGTGCTGCTTTCAAAGACAGGGCCATCATTGCACAGGAGCCGCCCACGCCTGTGGCCTCCCCACTCGTACATGGGGCTGTGGAGCTTCACCATCAACAGCCACAACCCCCTGTCCTGCTCCTCATTCTCCCAGAAAACCCCTTTTTGGACACTCGCTGTTCCTCTGCGCCTCTCCCCCTCACACATCAGATCCCTTTAAGCCAGTGTTTTACTCTATTTACCTTTATTCCTGCAACCTCCTCCAATTCCTCCTTCCACCCCCATTAACTCCCTCCCTTGCTCCGACCCTGGCCCCATTCACCCGAGCCACAGACACAAAAATCTCACCCCAGTGACAGGATACAACAGCAAGTCAAGGTCTCGGCCTTTATTTGAAGGCTTTTAACAGTTACAGTAAGAATTGTCATTGCAAACCAGGAATTCTTAAAAAAAATCGAACAATAAAAGTTAAAAAAACATCCACAAGTCCACCTGCAAGTAAGACAAGTCGGTGCAGAAAGGAGATGGGAGCGTCTGCCTCTTCCATTCTGCTCCTTTTTCAAATATCTGATCAAATTAGGGTACTAAGAAAGGTTGATGCTATCGGAATCGCTCCGGCAGGCGAGCATTTCGGATTAACAGCATCCACTGTACCAGGGTAACAGAGCAGCCACGTTAGGTCTATGGGTTTGAGTTGGGCTTGGCGTTATTTCCTCCCCGGTAAGGGCACTACAAACCGGGCTGTGCCGAGGTGCCCACACCGCAGCCGTGAGCCGACTGCAGGAGTTTGTCCCCGTTTTCAGAACTCATCTTGGTGGCAACGTCAGCAGCACTGGGCTGGCACGACTGCAGCTCCAATTCAGTGCGGTAACGCACGTCCGTGCGCTCTCACGAGGTGCACCAGCAGCATTCCCAACTCAAAATCCCCTTGGCACAGAGGGATCCTCCCTTGCTTCGCTAGCAGAGACCAAAACCAACCTCACCCAACCCACCCGCAGACCTGGGTGCTTCAGCCCCGCGCACACCACCTCGTAAAGAGACGTGAAGCAACCAGGTCGCAGCAGCCGCCGAGACGTCCTCTTCCCACCCAGCCACGTGCTTATGGCCACCTTTTGCTTCAAATTGCCAGAAAAAATGGCATTTCAGAGTGGAAAAAGTATGCTCCTGACCTCAAAGCAAGTCGGTAACGGAAAGAAGATTTTATGTGCGTCAAACACCCCGTTCCACGCCTGCGCCGCCGCAGCCCCGCGCCAGCTCTGCGGAAGGAACAGGCAATGCCAGCAATGCCTGCTCTTTAGGATAAGGCAGCACGGAGCACCTGGGTGCTGTCCCTTGGGGACACATCCCATTGGGGTCAGGTACCCCACAGGGCTCCCCTGAGGACGCGGGTCTGCACACAGCTGTGATGGGAACCTTCCTGCTCAGCAACCAAACACTGCCAATGAAACAAGTCCCTAAATCCAGTCCATCCGCTCAGAGGGACGCAGTTAATTAGTTAGTAACTAATAACCGGTGTTTCAGCAGCTCGAAAACACCTTAGAGACGTGAAGTCACGCAGCAGCCCCACGCTCACACCAGCGGGAGGAAGCCAAGGATACGCTCGCACTGCATCCACCTGCGGCAGGCGAAGAGAAACCAACAGAAACCAATAAAAACCACCCAAAACTCGAGCACCGGCTTCCCCCAGCGCAGCCAAGGCGACTTTCACCGTTACCGCTGCTCCAGTTTGCGGCCACCGTAGCCGGGGCCGATGGTCCGGGTCCTGCAAGCTCCTCCACCTCGAGAACTGCCAGCGGCCGCAGCTCTGCCCAGCGGGGTCCGAAAGCACGACAGACTCCAGCAGACGGGACACACTCTTGAAATGCAGAACTTTATTTAAAAACGGCTTAGAATAGAAAAACCCTGTCAAGAAAAATCCAAGTCAAACACGGTTTTCTCGGTAAAATGGAGCTTCAGGGCAACAAAAGTCTAGAAGGCCACAAGAGAAATAGCACCACTGCAGTTTTAAACAATGGCTGGATACTCGCATTTTTGGCATTCACTGGATTTGGGTTTTTCCTCGGGATTTCACAAAGATTCATGCACTACACAACGATTACCATAAGATGCTCTCCTACACACATTTTAGGACAAGCTACCACCAGAAACGAATGAGTACGAGCACAACGGGACTGATCAATCTCAGCAGTGAAGGGGGGGGGCAGAAGTCTTGCGGGATCTTGCCAAACACAACAGTAATGAGGGGCATGAGAGCAAAAAAAGGACAGGCAAGGTAAGAACTTTAAATATTAATATTTAAGTTAGTCTCAGTACTGTATTTTCTGCAGTAACATTAGCTCTGTTAGCCAGCATCTGCTCGTTTTTACCCCAGAAGACTACTGAACTGGCAGGTATTGTTATTGGATGTGCCCTGGTTTGGAAGGGGAAATAAAAAATAAGAAATAGAGACGGGGAACTCGGCATCCCCGCATGCTCGATTCACTTTCACGCTAAGACGGCTGCATAGCGCAAGTCCTGTTAAAACCACTGGGTTTCGTCAGCAACCCTCGGGTGGGAAAGAGAACAAGAGAGAGACAAAAAGGGATACCAAAACCCCAGAAAGGAACAGGACAAATAGCAACAAGAGCCAGGAAGGAAAACTACTTCCGAAGAACACGTCAGGCAGCGAGACTGGACGCCCTCTGCTCGTTTTGTTCTTTTTCCTACAGAAAACACAGTACGTTTTGGCAGAGTCATTAGCCACATTGCCAGGGGAAAGGCTTTAGCACTCTTTAAGGTCATTTATGTGTCTCAGCTGTTGATACTCCCTCTAATCTTGCGAGGGGCACCGGCAAGGCCCATCTCAGCGAGAACCGAGCACTTCGGAAGCAGCTTTGCGCAGGAATGGAGTTGGGTTTTAAGGGCCCCTCGCTGACCACGCGAGGCCTCTCGACAGCAGCGAATGCAGTGAAACAGGCGTCTACCCCAGAGCGAAGCACATAAAATCTCCTGTCACGTTACTTCAATTTGGCATACGGAAGCATACTTCAAATACTCTTAAGGCATTTTATTATAATTTCTGTGCTGCAATTTCACATTAACTCAATCGTTCTGCGAGTCAGAGTCTTTAATTTCTCTACCGCACACCACCTCCGGTACAAAAAGAGTCTTCCCAGCAAACCATCCTGCACCAAGTTCCAAATATTCAGCCTCTTGCTCCCTAAATACACAGCCGGATGTCAATACTGCTCTGCTACAGAGTGAGAAAGAGCTCCTAACTCAAACCCACGGTACAAGTGAAACTTCCGCAAAGTGCACTTTAAGAAGAGGTACTTTTTTTTTTTTTTGCGTATGAAAAGAAACCAGTGAGTCCTCTAAGAATAAAGTGGAGTATTTTACAGTTAAGCACATGATCTGGGGCAAAGAATTCTGATGTTGCTGCTCTGCTGGTACAGTATGTGGTCTGTTAATACTCTTCTTGCTCCTCCTGCGGTGCTCCTTCGTCAGGTATCACAAAGCCCTCCTGAAGGGAATAAAACAAGCGCTTTAATGAAAATCTCACCTCAAACCAGTTCCTGGCTACTGTGTACGGTCCTCTTTTTTTTTTTTTACATTTTACTTAGCATAGATTCCCTTAAGTCATCGTTTACAGTGTCAAGATACATTACCAGAAGAGCCATTTTCCTCATCTTTGATCTACCTGTTAGGTACTCTTTATGAAAGGCTAACCTTGTTTGCTGCCTGACTATAATTATGTTATCTGTTCCTTTATTACAGGAAAAATCTAGGCCATAAAACCTAAAGGGGAAAAAAAAAAAAGCAAAACAAGTAGAAAGAGGGAGCCGTGGAAAGCAAAGCAGCTTCCAGTTGCAAGGGGAGGGAGGAGACGTGCTATACAGTTTCGACCGGATTACTTACATCTGTGGCATAAAGAATTTCCACAATCCTCTGCAGCACTGGGTCGTTCTCCCCTTCGTTCTCCTGGCAAATCAATTCAATGTTCCGCAATTTCCCAAAGTAGAAGTCTCTCTCCTTCTCCAGATCTTCGACCGTAAGTTTCAATACATTGATCTGCCAAAGGGCGCCGAGAATAATTCATCATTTACCCACCAAAGGCAGAGCTCAGCAGTATCTACTCAAAAGGCAGCGTCCCCCAGGCCCTCAGAGGGGTGTTACTATGCAAAGCACTTCAGAAGTCACCAAGGCGCCGGGGGAAGGGGGACTGCGAGAGGAGGAAAGGGTCTGTTTCTCAAACTGTACTGTTATCACCAAACAAACACCCAGTCCAGCACCCACACCACCGCTTGGAAACGCTACAGGCCGTTACACGAAATGGGTAAAGCGCCAACTGCCCGCAGTTCTCAGTGCTAACACGCTCCCACAAGACAGCTCTCGCGCCCAGGCGGTTTTAGCTGCGTTACACTCAGCGTTGCAGGGAAGCAGCAGCTGCTCATAGCTCCGGTGGAATGCTGCGATCGCGGCCACACAGCTGTGGAAAGACCTAAAACCAGCGCTATGTGCGATATGGCACACACCAGGGTTAAGTGTCTGCGTGCTCCTGTGCCGCACCAGGGGCTCCGCTCCCATCAGGAGAGCAAGACCGCTATAACGAAGGCCTCTGACGAAGGGATTTTAAATCACTAGATTCAGACGGTGTCCTTCCGTCTGCCTGACCCCGTCATGCCGTGCCATTAGAAACCATAAACCTGCACAGATCTGTGCAGAGCGCAGCTCAGCACAGGGGCTGTTCTGGCCAATGTACCTGCTCGATCAGTCCTGCTGATTCATCATCTCCCGCAGCCTTCTTCATCATCCCAGCACCGGCTTTGGGAGCTGCGGTCCTCTGCGCGACGATGGGCCTCTGTGGGGCTGTAAGAGCAACGTGGGGTTAGTTCCCCTCACAACACCCTTCTTCCTCCTACCAAGGTGCCATCCCCCTTCCAAACATGTCTGAGTTTGAAGTTCCGTTCCTTCCTTCTTCTCAACTCCATGTGAAGTGTCTTTTTTAAATTTTTTTTAATGTGTTGGCACCAATCCTTGCCATTTTCTCTTTTAGAGAAGGTTGCTCTTTCTGTAGCTCCCAGATCACTGGGTCCTACAGGATGAGTCGGTGTTTGAAGCCTAGCACCTCTGAAACAAGACACAAGCCACTCATTTCATACACCAACGTTAAACAGCAGCCCAGACTGATTCTCCCCGGAGTTTTTAGCAATCCAGACAATCTTTTAACTACTGCCTCTACCTGCACCGCTAGAACCGAGAGATTTCTTGGGCTTGTTCACAACCGGAGCAACAAGGTTTGGTGCTACTGTCTCCTGGCCTTGTCGAGCAGCAACAGGGTCGTACTCCTTCCCATCATAGTTTGCATCAAAAAACTTCTTGAACCACTGGACGAATTCAAAGTTGTCCTGAAATTTTCCTTTCACTAGTTTGTCCACAGGAATTATCTGCAGGGAGGGAGAGAGAAAAGAAGTCAAACTCGTATTAAGGGTAAAGAGCCTCTCTCTGTCTCTCTATATGAAAGTTTTTAAGATCTGCCAGTGTAATTCCTGGTCCAGTGTAGAGAAAATCCTCCTTGAACATAACCGTATCAAACAGCAGATTTTTTGCTAATAATTGGAATTAAAAATGAATCCAGCTTTCACTGCGAGAGTCCAAACAGCTTTAACTAATCCTGCAGCAAGGTTTGTGCTACGCCGAGTTCCACCACAAAACTTTTGTACATGTGAAGCTGGCTCATCCAGGGCGAGTTTCCATGGATCTGAACCCTGAGCAGTTTCACAGTCCACAAACACACAGACCCAAACACCCCCTTTTTGGCGTGTTGCAGGCACGGGTTCTCTGCAGCGAGGAGCACCACTGAAGAGCATTAAAAACATGCAGCAAACTGTGAAGTCGTGGCCGTAGGCCCCGAGCTGCGAGCTCCAAACACGCTGCCAGTCGCTGTCACCTACACAAATCACCCGCCCACGAGCATAACCACCACTTGATCTGAAAAGGTTTCTTCACAGATCTCATTTTCACTGCTTAAAATCACATATGCTTGTCAAGAGGAACTTCAGATCCTCAGGACTACCATACCAGCAGGTTACGGGAACGTATCCGATGCCAAGATGGTTCAAACAAAGAGCCCAAGTAAACTTTCTCTCATAGAGATTTCAGTATTGGTCTGTGCTACATAAATTAAAATGGAAAAATGCACCTCACCATTAAGAACTGGAAAGCTAACCTTAGCTGCAGCAAAGCAGATACTGTGGTAAATCAATCCAGGACCCCGATGCAAACCAAAACCAAAAGTTTTGAGATTTACAAACCAAAAGCAAACTCTGTTCCCAGATTTTTCCAGCTCCAAATGCGAAAGTACATCCCACCTACTTTGAAATTAGAGCACAGAGAATCAGTTATGACCCAGCTTACTTTGTCCACACCCATTCGCTTAAAACCTGCTTGTAGAACCTTGAAGTTCTGAATGTACTCGTGTTCCAATTTGGCTTGAAACTTCACTTTCTTGAGCGCTACGGAGCCTGGGAAGAGCATGTCCATGAACTGACAGTACGCAGCGCCTGCCGGAAGAACAAACACAAATCCCGGGGTGAATCACACCAGCTCACCAGGCTACGAGTGTCACTGCAGTCACTCCAGCAACCTGACCCGGCTCATTCCTCAGCTCACAGTCCCTTAAAGGGAATAAAAGCAAGAAAACAGGAGCTTTCAGTGCCCTGCTCTGGTGCAGCGTGGCTATAAACAGGGTTAAGTGAGCTGCAGAACCAACCTGCTGCTCTCATGGCTTGAGCTCCTACGAAGAGGAGCAGCTCCATGACTCCGAGAGACAAAAATCCCCTGAGTAATTGGACTTTCCTCAAGGATATCAGTACACATCTGAGATGTGACACACGTCCAACAGGCACGTAAGCGACTTGTATCAACACTAACAGAACTAATCAGGAAAAATAACTATTCTAAAAGTTATATGTAACTACAAACAGAACCCATACACAATTCAGGGTGCCCTCAAAGGCAAGAGGCCAAATTAAACTGCATTATATTTAAATCAAGCTTTAATCAAAGGACTGAAACGAGACAGTGTTTCTTCCTCTTAATTTCAAATCCTTCCTGTCCTTCAATTCAGCTCTTATTACAGTGAGAGCAAAAGAGGGATTTGGTCCAGCCACAAAGAGTGGTAACAGATCTTGCTGTTTGATCTCCACTGTCAGTTTACTCGCTGAAAACTCCAATGCCCAGCTCAAAAACCGGACGACTCGCTACAAATCAGGGTGTTGCTCACTGCTGGCAGTCTTGAGCGATAAACACGATAAAAAGAGAGATCACAGCGTGAGCCAAAGGTCGCCTTTTGTGCGTTCACACCACCTCAAACTGCTGCTGTCAACACTGCCCTTGCCCCCGGCAGCAACGCAAGCTCGGGAACTGCTGTTTTCCCATGGCCACGACCGACAGCGAAAGCCACCTCCACACCTGCACAGGCATGAAGTGGTTTTGCAGACAGAGGAAAGGGACGTTGCTCAGCACACCCCAACCACTCTCAGCCTTCTCCTGAGGACAGGCGAGCTGAACTTCCGCGGAGCCAGTGCTGATTATCCTCGCTCCTCAGAGCTCTCGCCGCGTTTGAGACTCGCACCAATTCCAAGCAAAACTTCTCAGCCAAGGTTTTACACTGCCTACCCGAAAGCAGTCAATGCTTCCCATTTCCCCGACTCCTGTGGGTGGAGATCTTTAGTTCCTTCACCTTTGCAGCTTTTCTCACTAGACAAAAGCCACTACAAACACCCGTCAGATGTTTACTGCAAGTCCCCCACTTCTCTGTAATCTTTGCAAATGTTTCTTCCCTGCTCTCAGCCGCAGCCTGCGCTGATAGCTCCAAACTTATTTTAAATTTATTCTTCCTTTTATTCCACCTCCAATTTACACATCTCTCATTCTGTCAGCAACACCTCATCTCAAACTCACCCTACGAGCTTCTCACCAGCTCCCTTTCACCTGTCGCGTTATCCACATCACCATCTTTTACCTAGGCTGCATTTTCTGCCCTGGGTTTTTTTTTTTCAGCTCTTACTCCACAGACTATTAGATTTATCCGTTTCTACAAGCCTCCTCCCACGCGCACACTCTCCTCCCTGCGATGACACTTGACTCCATTTCTGCACCACAATCACTTCCCCTTTTCTGCCTCCAGCTCCATCGAGACTCAGCTGCGCTGAACCCGGCCCAGGCCAAAGCAAGCCGGGGTGACGCAGTGCCACGCTCCTCTGCCACACGGAGCTGCGAGGTCCCAGAGGTGAACCCAGAAGTCACCGTGCTCCTCCTGCCCAAGCGGCACCTTCAGGCACCTCCCAGATCTCCTCTTCCATAAGAAGTCACATTCGTTTATGCTGTTTACTCCACTTCTGAGACCTCTCTATCCATCAGGACTAAATGCTTCATCCGTCATTGGAAAACACCCTCTCCTAAGAGTCTTTTCTCCACGTTAACCCTCATTCCTACTTATTACATCTACGCTGCAGTGAGTCAGAGGAATACACCTTTTCATTATGCTTACATTATTAACAACCATTTCAATAAAGCTCGACATGTAACACTGACCATGACTCTGTTCACACCAGGAATTCAGCCAACAGCACAGCTACGGAGGGTCAGCACAGACGGCTCACACGGTGCAGCTGCACCTCAAGAGAACCAGGGCGCACAGCACATTTGGCATTGCCCCCACGCTGACCCCCTTACCTGAGCATAGCTGCTCAATCTTTGTCAGCGTCAGCTGCAGGGACTCATTGATCCACGCCAGCATGTCATGTCGACTCAAGTTATCGCTGGTCACTGACGTAGAATACACATTAACTGCCATTTTCTGAAAGATAGAACCGGGGGGGTGAGTACCACGACGGCAAACGCGCACTCTCGGGGTGAGCCCCGCTCAGGTGGCTGCAGCGGCAACGCTTCCCTTGGAGCCTTCGTGCCACAACGGCCGAGCCTGAGGTGATGCAGAGGAAACCCCGCAAAGCTGCCAGCAGCTGGGAGGACCTGGCCTCATCACAACCGTAACGAGCACGGTCTCGGGCTTTCTGTAGAAAAATGACCGCCGAGGCACTCACGTGGAAACACCGACCGCAGGGATCGCGGCCGCGGTGGTTATCCACCCTCTCCTCCACGCAGGAGCGCTTCCTGCTCGACCGCGGTGTCTCTCCAGCGAGAAATACCGAGCGGCCGATCCCCGCCCAACC